ACAGAATATTCTACTTAAATTGAACAAGGGATGTCTAGGTTTTCCTTATGTCAGTATCATTGTATCAGTTATTAGCTACAATTTGGTAAGAGGTAGGGATGTATTTTACAATGAAACCTGACATCAGTTGAATGGATGTTGTCTGAATTTAAAAAAAAAAAAAAAATTGTTAACGGTAAAAAAATTTTCAACGTCATTTTTTTAAATTTAAAGATTTTCGGGGTTTTTTTTGTTTTTTTTTCCCTAATACTTTTTATTTAACTACGATTTGAAATATTCTCCTTTTTAATTTTTATTTTACTATATTCTTTTTAAGATATATATATATATATATATATATTAAAAAGAAGAGATAAACTGTAAACGTTTTTGGTTATAATGTGGATTTTTTTCAAAAATATACATTATACTGTATTTTCCATATTTTTGCTACACGGGTTTCCGGTCTGCCCACCTTCGTCAGGCAAAGAGTAGATTTTTCTACATTTTATTTAAACGAATTAATTTTCCTTATTTTTTCGATGTTTAACCATTGTTTTTCTTTGACTGTTGGCGAAAGTCTCCTTCTATTTAAGGGGTAATAAAACAATTAAGATTAGTCAGAAAAATGGGGGAAAAGGAATGTTTTCGTTCTTATCTTATTATGACGCCTGTATCTTCTTAGATCTAGCTCCATTTTTGTGTATTGTGTGTGCGTGTTTTTGCTTGTATGTGTATTCATATTCCTTCTCGTCTTATTAGAAGGAATTAGTATATATATATATATATATATATATATATATATAAGAAATATACTCTTAAGGTGTGCTATATTTATGGGATAAAGTGCTCAATATTAAAGATAGAGCATGTGTAAATATAAAAGAGAACATGGAAGTCAACATTTAGGCGACAGGCTGTTTACTGCTAAACGTAATCGTCAGGCCTGACGATTGCGCCTAACATGAAACAGCCTGTCGCCCTAAGTGTTGACTTCCATGTGATATGAGATATATATATATATATATATATATATATATATATATATATATATATATATCTCACACATATAAACACACAGCATACACGCAAAATGACCAAATGCACAGGTCGGACCCCCCCCCACACACACACACTAACATCTATAGACAACAAATATATATACTCATTCTGGCAAAAGAAACACAATTGACTACACACAAGCACATGCACAAACCCTACACAACATAGGAAGTATGCGTATATATATATATATATATATATATATATATATATATATATATATATATATATATATATATATATATATATATATATATAAATTATATATATATATGTATGCGTATATCTATCTACATATACATATAGATATCTATCTATCTATCTATCTATCTATCTATCTGTATATATATATGTATGTGTGTATTTGTCTATATATATATATATATATATATAAATATATATATATATATATTTATATACAATGTATGTATAGTAATTCCTTATAACAAGACAGTATATATGGAGAAAGAATATGCATATCCATACTAGCAAAAACTCAAGAACCTAAGAGGATGAGATTGGATGACCAGATTATGAGGATATGTAGGAAAGATAACGGTTAATTCTGGATTTGGAGAGATTAAGAATATAGTGATCCAGTAAGCATCTGGTCGGGAGTCTGTTTTTGAAAATAGCGATTTCAGGAAAGAGTTGTCTGAATGGAACTTCCTTCTTACCAAAAGGAATTCGTAGGGAATGAGGCTGACTCGACCTTGTGGATGTGGCATGGTGGGTCTAAGTTGTAAAGATCTGAACTTATGGAACAACGGAATTTCGATTGTCAGAGTATTTTGCATAGAAATAGAAATAGGCTTGGGGAAGGGTCTGTAGATTGGATAATAATCCATATTCCATGATGCAGCATAGTTTTTTTTAGGTGTGTCAAGGCTGTAAAGAGACGAATAAGCAGCTCCTCTCAAGACATTTTCGACACACCTTTCTTACAAAAGCATAATTCTTCACTTCTTAAATTAAGTGGTCCGCCTTTTCACAAAACATGGCACTTTTTCCTTGACGGTGGTGGGGGGTGATATATTTTGTAGTTAAAATTCATTAGATTTTACTCTCCTCTCGACATTCTAACAAATCTCGCTGCAGAGAAAAATGGTTGTCTAAGTAGTATATCGGTGTGGAGAAATCTTTCGTCAGGTTTTGGTCCGCACGTTTAGCCAGAAGATTGAGCGGCGTCATCATCCCTTCCTCCCTCATGCAGCAACATGACTCCTGCTGTTGTTCATCGGACCATCTAGAGGTGAGGGAGGAAGGGATGATGACACCACTCAACCTTCTGGCTAAAGGCGGGTAACAAAACCGCTAGCCATGACCAAAAAGCTAATGAAAAGCCGCGAACTTGCTCTTTTATGAGCACCTCCAAGGCGTGGTTATACTCAAACGAGTCAATTTGTAGAGGCAGGAGAATAACCTCTACGATCAAAATAAACTGATCAGTTTCCTTTTCTAACCTATTCCTGTTGGTATACAAAAAAAATTACTAAAGCAGAGCGATAAAAAATTAAATTAGCAGACTACAGACTAGTAAATAATGTGTATACGAAAATATGTTTACATACGAAAAAGTAACAAAATATCGGTTATTTTAATTTCCAACACAAAGTTGTTTCTTCTAAGTAAAATTTGTCTTTTTGTTATCTCTCTTAAACCCTGATCTGTCATCCATGTACACAATCTCATTCTTCTTCTTCTTATAAGGAGCGTATCTCTTCAGGACCTTTGAGATCATGGCTCTCCACAGTTTCCCGTCATTTGTAGCTCTTGGTAAATTTTGTCTTTTTGTTATCTCTCCTAAACCTTGATCTGTCATCCATTTACACAAGTTTATTCTTCTTCTTCTTATAAGGATCGTATCTCTTCAGGACGTTGGCGATCATGGCTCTCCACAGTTTCCTGTCTTTTGTAGCTCTTATTAAATTTTATCTTTTTGCTATCTGTCCTAAATTCTTACCTGCCATCCATTTACACAAACCCATTCTTCTTCTTCTTATAAGGAGCGTATCTCTTCAGGACCTTGGCGATCATGGCTCTCCACAGTTTCCTGTCCTTTGTAGCTCTTAGTAAATTTTATCTTTTTGCTATCTGTCCTAAATCCTGTACTGCCTTCCATTTACACAATCTCATTCTTTTTCTTTTTCTAAGGAGCGTATCTCTTCAGGGCCTAGGCGATAATGGCTCTCCACAGTTTCCTATCCTTTGTAGCTCTTAGTAAATTTTGTCTTTTTGTTATCTCTCCTAAACTCTGACCTGTCATCCATTTACACAATCTCATTCTTCTTCTTCTATGTAGCGTATCTCTTCAGGACCTTGGCGATAATGGCTCTCCACAGTTTCCTGTCCTTTATAGCTCTTAGGAAATTTTATCTTTTTGTTATCTCTCCTAAACTCTGACCTGCCTTCCATTTAACAAGATCATTCTTCTTTTCTATGTAGCGTATCTCTTCAGGACCTTGGCGATAATGGCTCTCCACAGTTTCCTGTCCTTTATAGCTCTTAGGAAATTTTATCTTTTTGTTATTTCTCCTAAACTCTGACCTGCCTTCCATTTAACAAGATCATTCTTCTTTTTCTATGTAGCGTATCTCTTCAGGACCTTGGCGATAATGGCTCTCCACAGTTTCCTGTCCTTTATAGCTCTTAGGAAATTTTATCTTTTTGTTATCTCTCCTAAACTCTGACCTGCCTTCCATTTAACAAGATCATTCTTCTTTTTCTATGTAGCGTATCTCTTCAGAACATTGGCGATCATGGCTCTCCACAGTTTCCTGTCCTTTGTAGCTCTCAGTAAATTTTAATTTTTGCTATCTGTCCTAAATTCTTACCTGCCATCCATTTACACAAGCTCATTCTTCTTCTTCTCTGTAGCGTACCTCTTCAGGACCTTGGCGATAATGGCTCTCCACAGTTTCCTGCCTTTGTAGCTTTTACTAAATTTTGTCTTTTTATTATTTCTTCTAAACCTTTACCTGACATCCATTTACACAGGCTTATTTTTGTTTGTTTGTTTGTTTTGTTTTACGGCTTATCAACTTCAATTTGTTATTTAATGCCGGCAACATTTTTATTGTTGGTAATATTTTTTTTCCAAAAATGTATGGCTGGTAATTATTTTTTACAAAGTATTTCTAATATTAAAACCTATTTTTGCACTTTCATAGTGTTTTGACTCCAGTTTGGGTGTTAACTATTTGCCCATAGCTGCAACCCTAACAGGTGCTACCACCCCAAGTTAGAAGGACCTGGGAATAGCAGAAATTATGAGGTGGTCCCCCGCATTGCTGATGGATGTAGTTTATTGTCTTACCCAGGACGCGGATGTAGTTTATTGCCATAACCAGGACGGCTTTTTTCTTCTTTGTGTCATGTCACTTCAGGACCTTGGTGAGCATGTCTCTTCACAATTTCCTGTCCTTTATAGATCTTAGTAAACATTGTCTTTTTGTTATCTATCCTAAACCCTGATCTGCCATCCATTTACACAATCTCATTCTTTTTCTTCTTCTATGGAGCGTATCTCTTCAGGACGTTGGCGATTATGGCTCTCCACAGTTTCCTGTCTTTTGTAGCTCTTAGTAAATTTTGTCTTTTTGTTATCTCTCTTAAAACCTGATCTCTCATCCATTTACACGAGTTCATTCTTCTTCTTCTTCTATGTAGCGAATCTCTTCAGGACCTTGGAGATCATGGCTCTCCACAGTTTCCTGTCTTTTGTAGCTCTTAGTAAATTTTGTCTTTTTGTTATTTCTCTTAAAACCTGATCTGCCATCCATTTACACAAGCTCATTCTTCTTCTTCTATGTAGCGTATCTCTTCAGGACGTTGGCGATAATGGCTCTCCACAGTTTCCTATCCTTTGTAGCTGTTAGTAAACATTCCTAAACACTGTTCTACCATCCATTCACACAAGCTCGCTAAATATGTTATGCATAGTTTTTCCGCTGTTGCTTTTGTCTTCAGAAAGTCCTGTGAGTGTCAAATTTTCCAAGCCCTCTTTTCTCATTACGTTGTATCTTCCTGATATTAAGTATAAGTATGCTTTTTGTTCTCTTTTTCATAGAAACTTCGATGTTGCACTCGTGATCAGTTCGTGGTATCATGCATCAATGCGCATCTCCCAACGATTTGGGATTCTTCAAAAACTGCTGATGCAATATTCACACGCAAAATTAAAAAAAAAAACAATTTAAAATAAATGTCGGTTTTAAACAAGACAGAAAGAGCTATATATACGGTAAAACAGATCTGTCTATCTATATGTCAGTATCTATCTATCTATCTATCTATCATCTCAATCTCTCTCTCTCTCTCTCTCTCTCTCTCTCTCTATATATATATATATATATATATATATATATATATATATATATATATATATATATATATATATATATATATATATATATATATATATATATATAAATATATCTATCTATCTCTAATCTCAGCCTCTCTTTTTCTCTCTCTCTCTCTATATATATATATATAGCTAGCTATCTCTAATCTCAGCCTCTTTCTCTCTCTCTCTCTCTCCTCTCTCTCTCTCTCTCTCTATATATATATATATATATATAGCTAATCTCATCTAATCTAATGCCCACATCATCTATCTATCCATATTAATCCCAATCCATCCATCCATCCATCCATCCATCCATCCATCTATCTATCTTAATCTGCCCACATCCATCCATCCATCCATCCATCCATCCATCTATCTATCTATCTATCTATCTATCTTAATCTGCCCATATCTATCTATCTAAATCTGCCCATATCTATCTATCTATCTATCTATCTATCTATCTATCTATCTATCTATCTATCTCAATCAGTCAGTTAGTTCATATCTATCTATCTATCTATCTATCTATCTATCTATCTATCATCTATCTATCTATCTATTAAAATCTGCCCTATCTATATATCTATCTATCTATCTATCTATCTATCTATCTATCTATCTGCCCATCTATCTATCTCAATCCATCTATCCATCCATCTATTCATTTTTCTCTCTCTCTCTCTATATATATATCTATCTCTAATCTATCTATCTATCTATCTATCTATATATATATATCTATCTATCATCTATCTATCTTAAATCCGCCCATTCATATCTATCTATCTATCTATCTATCTATCTATCTATCTAAATCTGCCCTATCCATCATCTATCTATCTAAATCTGCCCATATCTATCTATCATCCACCTATCTATCTATCTATCTGCCCATATCTATCTATCTATCTATCTATCTATCTATCTATCAGTTCAAATCTATCTATCTATCATCTATCAGTTCTATCTATCTATCTATCTATCTATCTATCTATCTATCTATCTATCTATATCTATCTTAATCTATTCATCTGCCTCAATCAGTTCATATCTATCTATCTATCTATCTATCTATCTATCTTAATCTGCCCAATCATCTATCATATCTATCTATCTAACCAGTCTCTCTCTCTCTCTCTCGCTCTCTTTCCATCTATCGCGGTATTCATATTTCTGTCCTGATCCACCTCTATACCAATCTTAACCTAGGTTGTATCCCCCCCCCAATATAATCCATACAATGTACCGCCCACATCAAACGAGTGTTCCAAATGAATATAGTCTATTGCCGATGAGCTTGGTACACTCAATCCCATACCTGTACGTGCAATGATGCTGAATCAGGCGCGAAGTGACTGCATATAACTCTTTTTTTTTAATAATGGAAGTGATTTAATGTTAAACCCATTCCCATGTAATTATTTCGCATGCGCAGGAAGATAGCTTTTCCGCTTCCGTTAACAATTTCGATGTATCTAATAATGCCTTTATATATCTTTTTTGTACAATAATGTTCAAGCTACTAGACCCGGGAGCCATTCCAGCTAGAGTGTTACATAATATTATGTAAAAGGCAGAGTTTATATATATATATATATATATATATATATATATATGTTGGGTAGATAACGATTCTCCGTAGATTTGAATAGGTTAAGATTATAGCTTTCGGGGAAGGATCCCCTTTCACAAAGTAGATGTAAGTGGAAAAGTTATCGATTGGACGTGGCATTTAACTAATAAAATATGAAGGTAATTGTTATGGTCCATGTTAGGACCAAGGAAGAACAACACGAACACAAGAGTAGAAATAACGAAGGTATATTACACAAAATAATAATACAATATATGGAAGGTGTTAGTATGACTGTCAGTCTGATTTGGAGTGAACTACTATCGGCTCGACTCGATTCGTCTCTCTCTCTTGAGAGGCGTAGTATACATAGTGTTAGGAAGAGTTCATTCTGTAGTTATAAGTAAGGACCCATGACAGACAGACAGATAGATAGATAGATAGATAGATAGTGTTATGGTCCAGGTTAGGACCAAGGAAGAACAACAAAAACACAAGAGTAGAAATAACGAAGGTATATTACACGAAATAATAATACAAGATGTGGAAGGTGTTAGCATGACTGTCAGTATGGTTTGGAGTGAACTGCTATCGGCTCGACTCGATTCGATATTTACTTGGACCCCCACGGGGGAAAGATGTGGCACAAGGCCGCGTTTTACGAGGGTTTTCTGAGCCCCTAGGCTCGGCCAAAAATGCCCGTAGAACCCGTATAAACCGTATCCGGTTGGTCAACCTCCCCGAACGAGACTCTGCCCTTCAGAGGAGCCTCGTCCGGGTTCTTCTCTGCTCAGAAGCAGAGAGTTCGACCGTCAAGCCGAGAAGCTCGGCTTGATTCGGTATCTAGCCACCCCCCACGAGGGTTGCATGTGGCATAAGGCCGAGTTTTACGTGGGTTTTCCGAGCCCTAAGGCTCGACCAAAAATGTCCGTAGAAACTGTATGAACATAATCGGGTTGGTCAACCTCCCCGAACGAGGCTCTACCCTTCGGCGGAGCCTCGTCCGGGTTCCTCTCTGCTCAGAGGCAAAGAGTTCGAAGGTCAAGCTGAGAAGCTCGACTTGATTCGTCCCTCTCTCTTGAGAGGCGTAGTATGCATAGTGTTAGGAAGATTTCATTCTGTAGTTATAGGTAAGGACCCATGACACTAATAAAAATGGTTCATTTCAATGAGCGTGGCATGATGGGTTTTAACCGCGAAGACTAGACCTAGTGGAACTAAGAAATGTAGTTGGTCTTCGAACTTTCCATGGAAATAGTGACAGACTAGCGAGAAGCTTACGATGTTTCATCTGTGGAAAGGTTCGCAGTGTAGGTAATAAGCAATCACCCACAAGGACGCGCAGAAGATTTTGGGCTCTATGGAAAGTGAAGAATGGGCAGTCTAACACTCTCATCTAATCTAAATTGACAGTTCTTTTCAAAAATGGCCTGCAATCTGTCGTTAAATGGGGCAAGTAATAGCTTGTTACCTAGAACTGCGTTTGTCAGGGTCGGTAGATTTGCTGATGACACTATTATTTATTCTTGTCTAAGTAGTAAGTTTGAGCAGTTCGATATGGTTGAATTGGCAGCTTCCATCAAAAATGGCCTAGAGTCTGTTGTTAAATGGGGCAAGGAGTGGCTTGTTTATTTTAACGACTCCAAAACTGTTCTCTTTTAATCGTCGGAGAGAACCTTTTTTAAGTTCCGCTGCCATGGATGATGCTAACTTCCCTCAGAGTGACTATTTGCATCTTTTCGGTGTAAAGTTTGCAGCTGTCATAAATTGGAAGTTGTGTTACTTGGCAAGTCTGCAGCTCAGAAAGTTGGTCTAATTTGTCGTGCCAGACAATGATTCTTGCCAGAATTTATCTTATAACATTCCTCCTTGCTTTGAATGTTTCAGACATATCTGGTCTGGTGTCCCTGTTGTATATTTAGGGATTCTTGATAAAATCCAAACAAAAATTTGCAATGTTACTGGTCCCAACCTTAGTTTAGGAATATAAACGCACTACTAGATTGGCATCAAGTTCTCATCATTTTATAATTGTAAACCGTAAGTTCTATGCTAACAGTTTCTTCGATCACCATTCTCGCTGGTGGAACTCTCTTCCAGTTTCTTATTTTCAAGTCAACTTTCATCTTTAAAAAGAAAAGTGAAAAGCTTTATTTACAGTCTTCATAATTACTCTTCTATTGTTTTTGCTCCTTAAATATTTTTTACTTTTTCTTATTCTTTCACACTCAGTAGCCTCTTGTGTCTTTATGGCTTTATTGTCTTGCATGGAAGGGTGATCTGATTAAAAAAAAAAAAAACAATTCAGGCGTCTGCGCTCTCTCCCGGCTTCTCGCTTCCTAGTCAATTTTGTTCTTCAAAATTTTAAATGCGATGCCAATAGTTATCTACTGTCTTCTTAATTCTTGCTCTTATTCTCCTCTCACCATAATGGTATATTTTCACCATATTGCGTTTTACTGGCTTTATTGTCGTGCTTTGGTGAAATGATTAAAAAAAAGTTGGGATGTATTCGAGCAGAAGGAAAACCTGTTGAAATTTTTTTCGTCAAATCGGTAACACGTTTTACCTTTTATATGTCTTCATTTATTTACGACATGCATGATTAGTCCTACGAAAATTTATATATATATATATATATATATATATATATATATATATAGTATAACGGGATGATTCAGATCTTAGACTGAAATCCTCGGCTTTCTTGTATCGAAATCAACGAGAGTGTCCTCCGCCATTTTCTTCGTTTGTGAATGAAATGTGGCTTGACAATATATCCCATCTATCGAGAAATACCGATGAATAGGGAAGTCTTACAAAACCTTTACATGTGCCTGTGGTGAAGAAGCCGACTTCATTATTATGGTCATAGCATCCATTGCTGCTCGACGTGACGCAACATTTCACTGGTCCCATATTTGGATTTCGGTTGCCAAAATCTCTGCTTCATATCAATCAATAATTACTTTATAAAACTTATGCAACACAACGATTATTTTTGAAGCATTTCACTCCAAACAAATCGGGAGAGCCACTAGTACTCAGAGGGGTTACAGAGAATGTGTAGGTAATGTCTGCGTTGGGAAGGGATTGAGGAAAGTTTACTAGAAGAACGGGGATGGAGTCGACGGAACTAGATTCCGTTTACTTGAGAGATTTTTTAATAATTTTTAATGTTCTCTAATTCAAGTATGAGCAAACTTTGACCTTCATACCTGCAAGGAGGCACGGTGGAGTAATGGATAGCGGCTTGGATTGAGGAAGGGTCGTTTGGGGACCTTGTGGCGTCATACCTGCAAGGAGACACGGTGGAGTAATGAATAGCGGCTTGGATTGAGGAATCGAGAGCCGAGTTCGAATCCCAGTCGAATCCATTACATTCACTTACGTGCTAATAACCTTGGGAAAGGTATGAATCCTCTTCCCCTCCCAGCTATGGATAAATAGCAAGACAGACTGGCTTCTATAGCCTTGGATGGCAACTGGTATAGGAGAAGGACAACTCTGAATTCAAAACCTGCGGAGTTTCGTTTGGGGACCTTGTGGCACGTAGCGCACCGGGTCTCAGTAATCAGCCCTTCAAAAAGTGTGGATGGTCCTACACGAAACCTTCACCATTATAATCAAATCTCATGTGCTATACATGCGGGTTGGGGACCGCTTGTGAATTCCAAATTCCCATGAAACTCCAATATTGGAGCCGGCTCAAACCACCCCGGATGCAGGTACAGATAGGTTCATACCTGCCCCCCCCCCAAAAAAAAAGAGTGTCAAAAGTCAGTTTTCCCTTGACACCGTTATTATTTAAACTACCTTTTAATCCTGGGTTTATTATTGTAAAAAGCAATAATTACAATTATAATAATGCCAAATTTATGATTAAAGTGAATACATATTTTGTTCTTGAGAATTTACAACGAAAATAAACACGATTCATTTATTGGTTTATTTTCAAGAATAATTTTATATTTACAATATTCTAAAAACTAATATTAAAACTAATGCATTGCAATATTTTTTTCCATTGACGCTGCTATTATTTTAACTTGCTTTATTTCTAGGTTTCAGTTTTAAAAAGCAATCATCAAAATTGCAATAAAACCAAAACATATGATGAAAGTGAATATATATATATATATATATATATATATATATATATATATATATATATATATCATATTGTTTTGAGAAATTAAAAACAAAATATCAAACCTTATTTATAGATTGCTTATTTCCAAATATAAATTTATATTTACACCATTCTAAAAATGATATAACTGAAAATAATGCTACTCAATATTTTTCATGTTTCAATTTATCTATACATATATATAGGACAGTTGTCTGTATGTGTGTGTGTGTGTCTGTGCGTCTGTGTGTCTCCGGCTAAAACTAAAAACATTACAGAAATTCATGACAAAATGTATTCACAGACTCATTATCACCTAAGCTAGATTTTGTAAAAAAAATTATCATCGTATAATTTTTAATTATTCAAATATTCGAGCTAAAATTTCGCTGTTTCTCTCTGTCGAATGAAGATAGCTCAGTGGTAGTAACTCTGGCTGACACCAAGTCGGTTGGGTTTCGATCTGGGCTTGAGGCATTCGAATGTCTAGTCGCACTGAACAGCTGTGAGACAACGAAACAGCACTGTCTGCAAATGACACACACACACACACACACACACACACATATATATATATATATATATATATATATATTGGCTGCAAGATTTGTCAGAAATGTGTCAGTGTTGACAGATCCACTGCGGGTTTTCTGACAGGATTTACTTCCTGAGCCTTTTCTGTGTTTGGCTATGACCATAAAGCAAGCGGAGGTTTCAAATCAAACGAACTGCCTTCCTGGGTTGTTGAGCTCCGAACTGCCTTCCTGGGTTGTTGAGCTACCGGAAGCAACTGGTTATGAAGCACCAGTTTTCTGCCTTTGCCCATTCTCCAGCTCGGAGCTGAACTTTTATTGTCAAAGGTTGTTTTAGAAGCACGCCACGGAAGTATTTTATAGACAGCGGGAATTTATCCCCACATTCAACTCCGGCTACAACAACTTATTGAACAGATATAACGTATGTATATAAAAATTATACATTTTAAGACATTTTTTTATGTTTATACGTTCTTTTTTATAGATACAAATATTTAAGTAAATGCTATATTTATAATAAACAGTATTAAACAACATTTACCGGTCTGAATGTTCGAGAAATTGTTATAGAAAATATGGGTCTTCCGACAGGAATCGAACCTGTATCCTATACGGAACCGTCATATAGCCTAATGTGCTTTTACCGATTTAGCCACAGAGGAGCGTTTCGGTTAGTAAGGTCGATCTTACTGTTTTTGACCATGTTCACTATAGTCATAATTCTGTAATTCTTCAGTTTTCGATATCAAAAGCTGGCAATGCATATTCTACAAAACATGGCCGCCATTATACACGTTGCATTGAATATTTTGAGTCTTCTGATTGGTTAACTCTTGTATTGGTGAACTATAAAACGAGTCAACACATTTTGGCTGGCTCACTAGTACCAAAAAATTCCAGCATTTCAAACTATAATTCTCCATGATTTTCTCTCGTACATTCATATCTGCTCGATGCGTATCCAAATGTAAACAAATGACGTCACACATTAAGAAATGGACAAAGTCCGACAATTATTTTCAGACATTTTTATGTTTATACATTCTTTTTATAGATACAAATATTTAAGTAAATGCTCTGTTTTATAATAAACAGTATTAAACAACATTTACCGGTCTGAATATCAGAGAGATTTTCATAGAAAATATTCGTCCTCCGACAGGATTCGAACCTGTATCCTATACGGAACTGACTGGGCCACAGAGGAGCGTTCGGTTAGCAAGGTCGAATTTACTGCCTTTAAACTTTAATCTTTCATGAATCTCTCACGTACATTCATATCTGCTCAAAGTGTACCCAAATGTAAACAAATGACATCATACATTATCAAATGAACAAAGTCTGACAATTATTTTAAGATTATTTAATTGTTTATTTAATTACTTAATTATTCTATTGTCTATTAAAAACAGAGCATTTACTTAAATATTTGTATCTATAAAAAGAAATTATAAACATAAAATGTCTTAAAATAATTCATTAAAATTAATTTCATAAAAATTGTTATGGTCCTGTTCCTTGTACCACGGTGATAGTCCAAGGTAGAACCAATAAAGAAGAACTCGAGCACAGGTATGGAATAACACAGTTATATTACAAACAGGAATATATACAGAGAAGTAGAAGTGTTAGTATGAACAATCAGGTTTAGTAGAGAGAACAATGCAGTCTCGACCAGTATCACTATTCCAATGTCTTGCAGTAATTGTCTGAACACAACTCTGTTTCGAACTGCCTCTGACTCGACACTTGACTCGACTTGAACTACTGACGATATTCAGTCACCCCCCCTCACTGGGCCAGCATGTGACACAAGGTCGGTTATTTATTGTGGGTTCTTCGAGCTCGTTGGCTCGGCCCAAAAATATGCCCATTGAACCCGTGTAAACGGGCTCAGGGACGGTTTACCTCCCCGAAAGAGACTCTGTCCCTCGGCGTAGCCTCGTTCGGGTTCCTCCCCACCCGAAGGCTGAGAGTTCAACCGAACAGTCGGTTCAGAAGTGAACGACTGACGATATTCAGTCACCCCCTACGAGGGTGTCATGTGGCACAAGGCCTTTTTAACGTGGGCTCGGCCAAAAATATGCCCATTGAACCCGTATAAACGAGTCCAGGGTCGGTTTACCTCCCCGAAAGAGAATCCGCCCTTCGGCATAGCCTCGTTCGGGTTCCTCCACGCCCGAAGGCAGAGAGTTCTACCGATCTGTCGTTCAAGACTTGAGCGACGGACTCCTTGCCCACTCCTGAGGCACATTATTGGTTAAGTATGGAACAGTCCATTATTATTATTATGGGTAAGATCCCATGAAAAAAATTATATACATTACTTGTATTCGAAGCTATAAAAAATTACAAGATTTTTTTTTAATATACAAAAGACTACAAACTAAATCAAATTATGAAAGACTACATAAAAATCACAAAATATATCAAAAAAGTTTCTTAATTTTGGGAAAAAAAATAGCAGAAAGCAAATAATAATAATAATGTCTATATATACTTTAGGGTGAGGCTGGAGTGAACTCCTTCAGGGAGTAGACCTGGGGGATGGTGGTCGTACGCTGTTCAGATTAGTGACATGCTATTTCGATCGTACCGGCATGATTCCATGGAATTACAAGATCAAGTGCATTATATTTGGAACTGACTTGTCTGCAGCAGTTGCCGGAAAAGTTGTCAGGGTTGACAACCAACAGCCTTCGGGTCTCCAATCCGGTTTTTCTTTCTGGATTTACTTCCATAGCCTTTTCCGTGTTTTGGTAGGGTATGACCGCAAGTCAGCGGAGATTTAAAATTAGATGGAGACAGACAGACAGACAGACAGATAGATAGATAGATAGATAGATAGATATAGAAAAGTTGAGATAGATAGATAGATGTGAACAGGCTGAGATAGATAGATTTGAACAGAATGCAATAGATAGATAGATAGATAGATAGATAGATAGATATGAGCAGACTAAAATTACATAGATAGATAGATATGAATCATACATAGATAGATAGCAGACACGCGTATTTAGAGAATATAGATAGATAGATAGATAGATAGATGGATAGATAGATAGATAGATAGATATGAACACACTGAGAAAGATAGGAAGTTATGAACAGACTGAAATAGATAGATATGAACAGACTGCTATAGATAGATAGATAGATAATGAACAGTTTCAGATAGATAGATAGATAGATAGATAGATAGATAGATAATGAACAGTCTCAGATAGATAGATAGATAGATAGATAGATAGATAGATAGATAGATAGATAGATATAATGAAGAGATAGATAGATAGAAAGATAGATAGATAATGAACAGTCTCTGATAGATAGATAGATATGAGCAGACTAAAATTACATAGATAGATATGAATCATACATAGATAGCAGAAGCCCGCGCACATACACAAACACACGTATTTAGAGAAGATCGATAGATAGATAGATAGATAGATAGATAGATAGATAGATATGAACAGGCTAGATAGATAGATGTGAACAGAATACAATAGATATATAGATCGATAGATAGATAATGAACAGTCTCAGGTAGATAGATAGATCTGAAGAGTCTTAGATAGATAGATAGATAGATAGATAGATAGATAGATAGATGCGTACTCATCTGGTTAAATTACTTCTAGTCTGAAGTTGGATTAGCATATTCCTGCAGACATTGGACACCACCAACCTACCCAATCACTATTTTTAAACTCTGTCTCTCCCGTGCTTGTTTTTTCACGTGTTTTTCAAATCACGGAAACGAACAACACAACTCCGTTCCAACTCCCACGCGTCCAATCAAAGCAGATAGGAAAATCGGTCGTTCAGCAAAATCCATCGATTGATTCTTCACTCCGTACCTAATCGACCACAAGGACATATACAAGAAAAAGATGATTATTATTATTATTGTTATTATTATTATTATTATTATTAATATTATTGAAATATTCCAAGACTAGAATGACAGACCCTCTTACAGTTTTCATTCAGGATCATGGCTCTCCGCATTTTCCTACCCTTTGCAGCTCTGTATAGTTTGTTTTCTATCTCTCCTGCCAAACCATTTACAAGGACTCGTTAGGTGGGCGTGTCTTTGTTTTCCTCTATCCGTCTTGCCTTCAGTGTGTCCTGAGAGTGTTAAATTATCCAAGCCTTCTTTCCTCATTATGTTACGTTTGTTCTTGCTCATAACGTTTATTTCATGGGATTTCCAACATTATTGAGCCAATAGTCGCACAGGGGTGTGTGTGTGGACAATTTTAAATAGTGCGTGAATACAACGGGTTCAACGATAGTTGATAAAAGATAACCCCGGCATCGGACTCTTATATATATATATATATATATATATATATATATATATATATTATGAAATTGACAAAGTGCGACAATGGTTTTAAGACACTTTTATGTTTATACATTCTTTTTATAGATAGAAATATCTAAGTAAATTCTCTTGTTTATAATAAACAGTATTAAACAATATTTACCGGCCTGAATGTCCGAGAAATTGTCATAGAAAATATTCGTCCTCCGAGAGTATTCGTACTTGTACCCTATACGGAACCGTCATTTAGCCTGACGTGCCTTATCCGATTTGGCTACAGAGGAGCGTTCGGTTAGCAAGATCGATTTTACTGTCTTTAAACTACAATCTTCCATGAATCTCTCACGTACATTCATATCTGCTCATGGCGTATCAAATGTAAACAAATGACGTCACACATGAAATGGACAAAGTCCGACAATTATTTTAAGACATTTTTATGTTTATACATTCTTTTTATAGATGATTGAAGTTTAAAACCAGTAAATTCGATCTTGCTAACCGAACGCTCCTCTGTGGCCGATTCGGTTAAAAGGCACGTCAGGCTAAATGACGGTCCGTATAGGATACAGGTTCGAATTCTGTCGGAGGACGAATATTTTCTATGGAAATTTCTCGGACGTTCAGGCCGGTAAATGTTGTATTTGTATCTATAAAAAAATGTATAAACATAAAAATGTCTTATATATATATATATATATATGATGCCTTTAAATTCGTTGCAGTTTCTATAACAAACCATTTTTTCAGTGAATAGGTTGTTAACCTACTGCACAACCCCCAACTTGGAGGATCAGGTTTTGAATTTAGAGCTGTTCTTCTCCTAGACCAGTTGCCAACCAAGGCTATAGAACTCGGCCTGTCCTTCTTTCTATCCATTATTACCCATAGCTGGGGGATAAGAAGAGGATTACCTACCTTTCCCATACGTAAGTGAATGTAATGGATTCGACTGGAATTCGAACCCGGCTCTCCGATTCCTCAACCCGAGCCGCTATCAATTACTCCACCGTGTCTTAGATCGAAGATATTTTTTTTCAATTCTGAGAAATGCTAAGTCTGAGATTCACTTGAAATCATTTAATGTCGATTTTATTTTTTATGACATATAACATTAGATTGGTGTTGAATAGTTTTTAGTCTCTGTGCAGATCATTCGTCGGCGAGTTTTGCTCTGATGTGCGAGAAATTATAGGGCGGGTTAGCGATAGATGAATATTTCATTCAAAACGAGTAATGTGCCAAATATGTGAAGGTTGCTGAGCATTCCAATATATTTTTGTGGTGGACTTTATCGAATGCCTTTGCATAATCTATAAAATACAGGTACACAGCCTTCTACATTTGTATGTCTCTTTCTGATATCATATTGAGAATAAATATTGCATTCCTTGTTCCAGTGTCTTTGATAAACCCGTACTTATCTTGTCCTATTTCTGGTCTGATTCTACTGTGCGCTCTGTTCATAAGAATTCTTTATCTCTTGATTTATTTCTTTTTTCTCTTCTTTTAGTTTTGAATTCTTTCGTTTTTCTTTTCATTCATTCATTCATTCATTCTTTCTTTCTTTCTTTCTTTTCTTTCTTTCTGTTTCATGCTGTCTTCTCTTTTGCATCTTTCTTTCTTCTATCTCCCTTTCTTCTTACTTTCTTCTTTCTGGCTATCTTTCTTTTTTTATTTTTTTATCTTTCCTTTTTTTCTTTTGTTTTTCCTTTCTTTCTTTCTTTCTTTCTTTCGTTTAATTGACTTTTTTCTTTATTTCTTCTCTACGGCTTTCTTTCTATTTTTCTTTCTTTTTCTCGTTCAAACTTTCTTTCTTTCTTTCATCTGTTTTTCCTTTCTTCCTTTATTTCTTTCTTTCTTATGCCTTTTTCTTTCTTTCTTTCTTTCTTATGCATTTTTCTGTCTTTCTTTCTTCTCTTTTTCCTTTCTTTCTTTCTTTCTTTTTTCTGTTTGACGCTTTCTTCTCTTTTGTCTCTTTCTTCTATTTCTCTTTTTTTCTTTCTTCTCTACGGCTATCTTTCTTTTTTCATTTCTTTCTCTTTCCATTGTTTCTTTCGTTTTTTCCTTCTTTCTTTCTTTCTTTCTTTCTTTCTTTCTTTCTTCTGTTTTTTCTTCCTTTCTTTCTTCTCTTTTCCTTTCTTTCTTTCTTTTTCACTTCTTTCTTTCTTTCTTTCTTTCTTTCTTCTCTTTTCCTTTCTTTCTTTCTTTCTTTCTTTCTTCTGTTTTTGCTTTCTTTCTTTCTTTCTTTTTTTCTTTCTTCTCTTTTCCTTTCTTCTGTTTTTCCTTTCTTTCTTTTTTCTTTCTTTCTTTCTTTCTTTCTTTCTTTCTTCTTTTTTTTGCTTTCTTTCTTTCTTTTTCCTTTCTTTCTTTTTTCTTTCTTTTTTTTCTTTTTTTTCCTTTCTTTCTTCTGTTTTTCCCTTCTTTCTTTCTTTCTTTCTTTCTTTCTTTCTTTCTGCTTGACGCTGTCTTCTCTTTTGCCTTTTTCTTTCTTTCATTTGTCCTTTTCTTTATTTCTTCTCTACGGCTTTCTTTCTATTTTTCTTTCTTTCTTTCGTTCTATCTTTCTTTCTTTCTTTTTCCCGTTCATTCAATCATTTCCCCTCTGTTTCCCCTCTTTTTGTTCTCCCTCACCGCTGCAAATATGATTTTTCATTTCAACTTCCTAACAGTCCATACTGAATATTCTTCCTCCCAATTTCTATTGCCGACCAAATAGAACATATATCAGAGTTTCCTGACAGTCTGTCCATTTTGGATCCAACAAAAGAGAAGCCAAAATCGGAACGAGGAATTCACTGTCATCTCTGCAAAGAGACTTTTATCATTCTATTCGTCGACGTAGCTGCTTTTATTCCACTCCAAAATGGCCGAGATAGGGGTTAAGTGCGGATCGTCGCAAGACTGACTTCCAGCTTATTTCTCCGTGGTTATTTTGGAAAATAAAGTAGAAGACATGTAAGTTATTGGATATGAGTTTGGAAATGCGAAATGTTATCGAATTTTATTCTTTTGCCAGACTTTATGATCGTCCATATTAATTGAAATCTAAATTTTCTCAAAAGTCAAACGAAATGATAATAATAACAACAGAAATAATCTCAAAGCATGAGCAGTGAGGACGCAAGAAGACACGCATGCGCATTCAAAACGAAGAAGAAGAAGAAGAAGAAGAAGAAGAAGAAGAAAATAGAAGAAGAATAATATATATAAATGAGGAACAAAGAATAAAAAAAGGGAGGGAAAATATGTTGTATTGAGAAGGAGGTGTATTTTTAGCCTGGGGAACAAAGAATAAAAAGAGGAGGCGTTTGGAAAATTAAACAAGAAGAAAGGGTAGGAGAGGCTCAGATGAAAAATGGAAAAGGAGGAGGAGTTTGGGAAATGAATGAAGATGAAAACGGAGGAGGGGAAAGGAGTGCGTTTTTCTTGCCGAAATTAAGGAAAGAGTGAAAATAGTAAGAATAAAAGCAAAAGAGATTTCTTCTTCAGTTTATCGTAGCAAAATGCGTTTCTTATTTTTGCAGGAGGGGGGATGACCACTTGAATTCATTTAAAAGCTTGAATATATGCACACCCACATTTCATTTTCAGTTTATAAGACGTTTCTTATTTTTAAATGATTTTAATTGACAGCTAAATTTTTGAATTCACTAAATAAAATAATATATGTTTCCCAAATTTCTTCTTCAGTTTATCGTAAAGCATTCCGCGAAAATAATAATTAAAAAAGTTTATAAATTTCCGCGTTTTTATTTAAATGTTATATGGAAAGACCTTAAATTCACTAAATAGTAAAAATGCTCACCCATTTCTTCTTCAGTTTATCGATTTCAATTCCGCGTTTCTTAAAATAATTTGAACTTGAGATTTTGTTTTCACTAAATAGTTAATATAACTATTCACATTTTCTTCTTCAGTTTATCGTAGCATTCCGCGTTCTTATTTTTTGATGTTATTTAGGGTTGACCTTGAATTCACATAAATAGTAATAATATATGCACACAACATTTCTTCTTCAGTTTATCGTAGCATTCGTTTCTTTTATTTTTTGATGATTTTAAGGACAGTTCTAAAATGTATAAATGGAATATATGCACACCCACATTTCTTCTTCAGTTTATCGTAGTATTCCTCGTTTCTTATTTTTTGATGTTATTTAGGGTTGACAGCTTGAATTCACTAAATAGTAATAATATACGCACACCCAATTTCTTCTTCAGTTTATCGTACCATTCCGCGTTTCTTATTTTTTGATGATTTTAAAATGAGACCTTGATCACTAAATAGTAATAATATTCACCACATTTCTTCTTCAGTTTATCGTAACATTCCGCGTTTCTTTATTTTATTGATGATTTTAAGGACAGACAGCTTGAATTCACTAAATAGTAATAATATATGCAACCCAATTTCTTCTTCAGTTTATCGTAGCATTCCGCGTTTCTTATTTTTGATGTAATTTTTGATTGAGATCCAAAATTCACTAAATAGTAATAATATATGCTCACCCACATTTTCTTCTTCAGTTTATCGTAGCATTCCGCGTTTCTTATTTTTTATTGATTATTAAAACGGAGGGTTGAATTCACTAAATAGTAATAATAAACACCCACATTTCTTCTTCAGTTTATCGTAGCATTCCGCGTTTCTTTTTTTTTATTGATAAAGGACAGAGACCTTGAATTCACTAAATAAATGGGATAGTTTATCCATTCCGCGTTTCTTATTTTTGATGTTATTGAAACGGAGACCTTGAATTCAGTTAATCACGCCCTCATTTCTTCTTCAGTTTAGTGTATTTTTTCTTATTTTGATGTTGATTTAGACCTTGAATTCACTAAATAGTAATAATATATGCACACCCACATTTCTTCTTCAGTTTATCGTAGCATTCCGCGTTTCCTATTTTGGATATTATTAAGTACGGAGATCAAAATTCACTAAATAGATAATAATATATGCACACCCACATTTCTTCTTCAGTTTATCGTAAGCATTCCGCGTTTCTTATTTTTTGATGTTATTAAGGTTGAGACCTTGAATTCACTAAATAATAATAATATATGCACACCCTGATTTCTTCTTCAGTTTATCGTAGCATTCCGTTTCTTATTTTTTCTATTTTTTAAATTCACTAAATCATATGGATGATTTCTTCTTCAGAGACGTTATTTTTTCTTATTTTGATGTTAAATACACCTTGAATTCACTAAATAGTAATAATCTTATTTCACATTTCTTCTTCAGTTTATCGTAGCAATTCTTATTTTGATATTATTAAGTACGGAGACCTTGAATTCACTAAATAGTAATAATATATGCACACCCACATTTCTTCTTCAGTTTATCGTAACATTCCGCGTTTCTTTATTTTATTGATGATTTTAAGACAGACAGCTTGAATTCACTAAATAGTAATAATATATGCACACCCACATTTCTTCTTCAGTTTATCGTAAATTCTTGTTTCTTTATTTTGATGTTATTAAGGAAGAGACCTTGAATTCACTAAATAGTAATAATATATGCTCACCCACATTTCTTCTTCAGTTTATCGTAGCATTCCGTGTTTTTTATTTTTTGATATAACTTTTGATTGTTATTGAAGACCTTGAATTCACTAAATAGTAATAATAAATAACATTTCTTCTTCAATGGATAAATAGTAATAAGCACACCCACATTTCTTCTTCAGTTTATCGTAGCATTCTCGTTTTTTTTATTTTTGATATTATTAAGGACGGAGACCTTGAATTCACTAAATAGTAATAATATATGCACACCCACATTTCTTCTTCAGTTTATGCATTCCGCCTTTTTTTTTTTGATATTTTTTATGACAGACGGAGACCTTGAATTCACTAAATAGTAATAATATATGCACACCCACATTTCTTCTTCAGTTTATCGTAGCATTCCGCGTTTCTTATTTTTGATGTTATTTGAGGAATTCACTAAATAGTAATAATATATGCTCACCCACATTTCTTCTTAGTTTATCGTAGCATTCCGCGTTTTCTTATTTTTGATGTTATTAAGTGACAGAACCTTGAATCACTAAATAGTAATAATATATTTTTACATTTCTTCTTCAGTTTATCGTAGCATTCCGCGTTTCTTATTTTTTGAATTATTAAAAACAGAGACCTTGAATTCACTAAATAGTAATAATATATGCACACTCACATTTCTTCTTCAGTTTATCGTAGCATTCCGCGTTTTCTTATTTTTTTGTTATTAAGGGTTGAGACCTTGAATTCACTAAATAGTAATAATATATGCACACCCACATTTCTTCTTCAGTTTATCGTAGCATTCCGCGTTTCTTATTTTTGATATTATTAAGGACTGAGACCTTAAATTCACTAAATAGTAATAATATATGCACACCCACATTTCTTCTTCAGTTTATCGTAGCACGTTTTTTATTTTTTTTCAGTTTTTTGAATTCGTAAAATTCCACATTTCTTCTTCAGTTTATCGTAGCATTCCGCGTTTTTTTTTTTGATGTTTTTATGACTGAGACCTTGAATTCACTAAATAGTAATAATATTCACCCACATTTCTTCTTCAGTTTATCGTAGCATTCCGCGTTTCTTATTTTTGATATTATTAAATGAGACCTTGAATTCACTAAATAGTAATAAATATACACCCCCATTTCTTCTTCAGTTTATCGTAGCATTCGCGTTTCTTATTTTTGATGTTATTTAGGGTTGAGACCTTGAATTCACTAAATAGTAATAATATATGCACACCCACATTTCTTCTTCAGTTTATCGTAGCATTCCGCGTTTTTTTATTTTTGATGATAATTAAGGAAATTCACTAAATAGTAATAATATACGCTCACTCACATTTCTTCTTCAGTTTATCGTAGCATTCCGCGTTTCTTATTTTTGATGTTATTAAGTACGGAGACCTTGAATTCACTAAATAGTAATAATATACGCTCACTCACATTTCTTCTTCAGTTTATCGTAGCATTCCGCGTTTCTTATTTTTGATGTTATTAAGTACGGAGACCTTGAATTCACTAAATAGTAATAATATATGCACACCCACATTTCTTCTTCAGTTTATTAACATTCCGCGTTTTTTTATTTTATTATTATTAAGGACAGAGACCTTTTCATTCACTAAATAGTAATAATATACACTCCACATTTCTTCTTCAGTTCATCGTAGTATTCCGCGTTTCTTATTTTTGATGTAATTAAGGAATGAGACCTTGAATTCACTAAATAATAATAATATATGCACACACACATTACTTCTTCAGTTTATCGTAGCATTCCGCGTTTCTTATTTTTGATGTTATTATTTTAAAACGGAGACCTTGAATTCACTAAATAGTAATAATATATGCACACCCACATTTCTTCTTCAGTTTATCGTAACATTCCGCGTTTCTATTATTTTTTGATGATTTTAAGGACAGACAGCTTGAATTCACTAAATAGTAATAATATATGCACACCCACATTTCTTCTTCAGTTTATCGTAGCATTCCGCGTTTCTTATTTTTTATTGATGATTTTAAGGACAGACAGCTTGAATTCACTAAATAGTAATAATATATGCACACCCACATTTCTTCTTCAGTTTATCGTAGCATTCCGCGTTTCTTATTTTTTTGTTGTTA